GGGGGGGGGGATGAAACGGGAAGAATAAAAGCGAAAAGAAAGAGGTTGCGAAGTGGGGCCGTGGTTCTCCGGCGAGGTTGCTGCCGGCGCCGGGCATCGATGCTGAATGAACGCCGCGGCAGGTGCAGCCAGCAGAGGCGGCGCATCCCGAGGAGGAGCTCGTCGGGGTTGGGGGATGGATGTTTCTTTATATTATTGGGTTGTCGATAGCGTGTGGAATCACAACGCTGGAGCGCCAGCGAGGCATCTGGTTTCTTCTGGCTATCAACCAACGTGTTAGCGCTGGCGTGCACGCATGTTGAGCGGACAGATGAATACCTCTGAGTTCATTATACGCAGATACACACAATGTATTAGGTACAGATATATTCTTTTTTATTTTGTGCTAAAAAGGTTATTTCTTGGATACAGAGTCCATATATGTACGTGGATTCAAGCTCTATACATGCATCCTACAGAATTAGTGGCTCGTATTTTTTCGTGAAATCTGCTTATATAATTTTACAAAGTGTCTGCATACTTTAAAAAATGGTTCTGTAATTTAAAATGTGTTTGTGCTTTTTGAAAAAAATACAAGATTTTTCAAAAAGTGCCTTTGCATTTTAATTTGTTTGTATTAGTTTTAAAAAAAGAGTTTATGTATTGAAATATTGTTCACATTTTCTTTAAAAAATCACCCTTTTTAAAAATGTTCATGTAATTCTAAAAGTGTTTGCATGTTAAATAGTTTTGTAGTTTTAGAAAGGTTATGTGATTTAAGAAAGTGTCCGTGTGTTTTAAAAAGAAAATGTTAATACATTCTAGAAAAGAATACAATTAAAAGCAAGTTGGATTATGAGGAACGATGTATGAAGTAGGTGCAGAGTGTAGCTCGTGTAGAGCGGCCCTTAGGTCCAGCTCGACTAGATTAGTTTTATAAAAATTATAAATACCCATTTGCTTTGGCGCGGTTCAATGATAAGTTTGTTGTGTGATGGCCAAGATCAAAGGGGATATTTTTTCCTTACCCACTTGTGGGCCCTAAATTCATGATTGATTTTTCTTTACAATCTGCTAATTGGAGCAGTCGAATAACATGGGTTAATTTGTTTCTCGATCAATCCTGTGTAAGGTTAATGCGTAGTGCCTTTTCACGTATTTTCTCTTGACATTGAATTGATATGCATATTGCACTCGGTGAGAAATTTTTCAATAACTCACACCAATATACTAATCTAGATACCGTCAACAATCTAGACATTATCCTTCATCTGTTGTTTCGTTGGCCATACATCAAGATCTGTGCCATATGTGGACGTGAACCAGATGTTGCCAATTCTGACATCACCCTTGATGAGGTCGTCAGAATAACATTCCAAAGGAAAAGTTTAGTGTCATTTTATTGTATCATTTTGTTAGCATCATCCTTACAAGTTTAGAGTAGCGAGCCTCCGAAGCTTCGTCTTTCATCTTTTTTTTTCTCACCCATCATTTCATACCAATCATATTGGACCGTTATATTTTTTTCTACACTCTCGTTGCAACGCACGGACATTTATGCTAGTAATACTTAATACAAGCAGCATTGCTTGATCACAACTTGGCACACGTACTACATGCATTGGATAGCTAGACACACCAATTGCAGATACAACCCCAAGTACAAACACTATTGCATCTCCCCCGCAACACACACGAAACATGCACAACAATTGGCACACCAGATACAGTAGATCTGAAGCAGTTCTACATTCAGAACCAACAAAGTAAGCAGACAAGGATATCGACGAACCCAACATGCATGCAGTCACGAATGAACGTTGTTTTCGTGTGCGCGCGCTGCATGCAAGTACATGATGAACTACGTATCTTAATCAAGCGCAAATGAAGCCACTTGGGAGGTTCTTGCCGCAGTAGTTGACGAGGAGGCTGAGCTTGACGGGGATGTCGAGGCTGATGCCGAGCACGTTGGCCTTGATGGCCGTGCAGAGGCAGACGGCGGCCTCGAGGTCGGCGAGGCCGCCGAGGATGCTGCAGCACGGCTCGGCCGGCGGCTGGTCGACCTGGGCGAGGACGAGGCCCAGGACGTCGGCGCACGCAGCGAGCTTCAGCGCGTTCTTGGGGCACTTGCTGTGGGACGGCGTCGGTGTCGGGGTCGCCGGAGTCGGCGTCGGGCAGCTATCGCCGCACGCGTTGGCCACGGTGAAGACGAGGACCAGGCTGAGGGCCACGAGGAGGGAGGCCTTCGGCGCCATGGCTGCTGAAAACCCGATGGTGCAGAGGTGCTTGCACGTACGGGTTGGCTAGAACTAGAAGAGTGCTTGTGCGACTGTGAACGTGGCTGAAGAACCCGGGGCACGTACGTGGGTATTTGTAGAGGAGAACCGAAATCCTAGCTTCATCATCATTTTCATAATACTCCATCTTACAAGATGTATCTGCAGATACCTCCCTGAAGAAAATGATTCACGAGCAGAATAATTCGTAGCTCGGTCCTGCGAGTGCGTGAGACGCGTAGGGCTGGCTTGAGCTGTGGCCAGATCGGGCGCAGAGGCAGATGTTCGTATCATTGCTTTCTGAAATGCGAAGATGACATGTCTCGGACTGCTAGCCGTGCACGGTAACCCATGTGCAGGCAGTGGAGCTGGCAAGGTAGAATGGCAGTGAGGCAGCGGCAAGGCTCCAAGACGACGGCTCGGCAGCTTGCTCTGCTTGTGGGCCTGACGGTCAATGCTGTGTTGCCGTTGGCACCCTCTTGGCCAGCTCCCTGGCTGGTTCGTGCTCGATCGGTTTCTGCCCTGCCATGGCATCAACTTCAGCGTCATTTCATTGGCTCGCTTGACGAGTGAATACGATTCACATGTCACACAGCACGTCTGGGGAGACCAGGAGATCCACCGTGAAGGGATACCGACATTTTTTTTGAAGGGATACCGACTTTTGGGTGGGGCAGCACACTGCGCCGGTTGTTGATGGGCAATTACCTGCGTCTATGGGCCGCATGATGATCAAAGGAGGGCGAGTTTTCTTCTGAAGCTGCAGCAGATCGCCAACCAGGTGACCACGCCATGGCTTGTTCTCCGTGATTTGAACCTTATCACGTCTGCGGAGGATAAGAACAACCCCAATCTGGACCGGCAATGGATGTTACGTTTCCGGCAGGCCCTAAACGCCTCATGTTTGAAGGAGATCGATCTTGTGGGGAGGCGATACACCTGGTCAAACGAGCAATCGCCGCCCACTCTTGTGGGCCTTGATAGAGCATTCTGTACAGTGGAATGGGAGCTTAGGTTCCGGGCGGCAAAACTACTACCCCAATCTTCTTCCATGTCGGACCATTGCCCATTGCTTCTAGTTAATGAGGGAATGCTCAAGAAACAGAGGCGCTTTCAGTTTGAACTCTACTGGCAGTTCATCCATGGCTTTCAGGAGGTGGTGGCAGCTGCCTGGAACAGTGTGCCAATTATAGCAGATCCGGTTTATTCTTTCAACAAGAAACTAAGGGCTGTTGCGAGGGCCTTGAAGGTGTGGAGTAAGACTAAAGTTGGTAATCTCCAGATGCAGCTCCTTGCGGCCCAGGAACTGATCCTTCGATTGGATTGTGCTCAAGATGACAGAACATTAGTTGCTTATGAGGCGGCCTTGTGCTCAAAGCTCAAATCAAGGTGTCTGGGCCTTGCAGTCCTATTACAGATCAAGCAACGGCAACGCGTCAAGGTTTCTTGGTTGAAAGATGGGATGTCGAGCTCCAAGATGTTCTTCATCAAAGCTAACTCCCGCGCCAAACGAAGCGCTATCCACTCTATGATCTCGCCACATGGATCGCTCATTACTGACCAAGTGGGCATCATGAACAGCGCCGGGGAGCATTTTTCTGCTGTTCTAGGTGCACCAAGCGTAACAGACTCCACATTCTGCTGGGTTTTCTAAAGATTTTTCTGACGGATCTTCAAGAACTAGAGCAAAATTTCTCTATGGACGAAATTAAGGAGGCCATTTGGGATATGCCCTTGGACAAAGCACCCGGCCCCGATGGCTTCCCTGGCGCATTTTATCGTGCATGTTGGGACATTATAAAGCTAGACCTTCTGAGTGTCTTTCATAGCCTGCACAATCTCAATGTCAGATCCCTGCATATTATAAATGAAGCCCTCATAGTACTAATCCCGAAGAAGAAAGACCCAATGATGATTGGGGACTATCGCCCAATCAACCTGATTCACAGCCTCATAAAAATCATCATGAAGGTTTTAGCTAGAAGGTTGGCCCCGAGGCTGTCGACGCTAATATCCAAGTGTCAGAGTGCGTTCATGAGCGGTCGCTGCATTCACGAAAACTTCGTGTATGTACAACACTTGGCAAAGCACTACCATCATGTGCGAATACCAACGGTTCTCCTCAAACTTGATTTGGCAAAGGCCTTTGACTCGGTGTCCTGGTCGTACATTCTGGACTACATTAAGGCCATGGGATTTGGTACTAGATGGTGAGAATGGATCGCATTGATCCTTTCATCCTCTTCATCGATGGTCATGGTAAATGGTGCCCCGTCGGCACAAATCTGGCACAAACAAGGATTTAGACAGGGAGACCCGCTATCCCCCTTTCTGTTCATCATTGCCATGGAGCCGCTGCACAGAATTTCCGACCTCGCTACAGAGCATGGAGTTCTCTCAAAATTAAGAGGTCGAGCTGCTACTATGAGGGTCTCCTTGTATGCAGATGATTTTGTGCTCTTTGTAAACCCCTCGCAAGAGAATATGAGGATGGTGGGGTATATTCTGGACATCTTCCTGAAGGTGACCGAACTAAAGACAAACTTCAACAAAAGTGTTGCACTCCCAATCAGTTGTGATGGCATTGATCTGGAACAAATTCTACTGTCTTTGGGCGTGCCCTCCGCCACATTCCCTTGCACATATCTTGGGATGACATTATCCATCAGGAAGCTTCAGAAGATCCACTACCTAAATATCATGTCAAAATTTGACAGTAGGATGGCCGGTTGGAAAGGAAAACTCATGTCGAAAGGGGATAGGCTTCTGCTTGCAAGGTCGGTCCTACAATCACTCCCAGTATACTTGCTAACTTCCCAAAAACTACCAAAATGGCTGCTGCGATGGTTTGATCAGAGGACATGCGCTTGGTTTTGGTGCGCGGAGGACAAATGCAATGGGGGAAACTGCAGGGTGAGATGGGATGTGGTCTGTCGGCCAAAGCAACTGGGCGGTCTTGGTATGCTTGATTTGGATAAATTTGCAAGAGTCTTGAGGATGAGGTGGCTATGGCTGCGATGGACTCCAGCAAAAATCCCAATAATCGGCACTTATGGCCCATGTGATGAGGAAGACTTTGCGGTATTTGCCAGTGCAACGAGAGTAACCATAGGGGATGGTAAAACGACATTGTTCTGGAAGGACGCTTGGTTACAAGGCATGGCGCCAAGGGACATTGCCCCCACTCTGTTTGATGCATCAAGCAGAAAAGGGCGTACGGCATATGATGCCCTGCTTCGGGATAATTGGCTTCACGACCTCGAACGGCAATGGAACGATGACATGATCGAGGAGCTCATCGGGCTATCTACCATGCTAGAGCATATTCAGCTAAACACCTTACTGCCTGACTCAATCACTTGGAAGTTGATGAGCAATGGCACATACTCCTCTAGCTCGGCCTATCACCTGCAATTTGAAGGAATGGTCCAATCTGAATCCTACAAGTGTATATGGAGGATATGGGCTCCTGTCAAGTGCAAGATCTTCCTATGGACGAGAGTGCAACGCAAGATTCTGACGGCAGATGTGCTAATGCTCAGAGGTTGGGAGAACAATTACTTCTGCCCATTGTGCATCCGCAACCTTGAGACAGCCAAACACATTTTTGCTGAATGTCCATGGTCACGGAGAGTGTGGGATAGTATGGCAACTCTAGCTAGGCTGCCTTCGTTGTCACCCTCGGGATGGAACACAGACGCGACGCTGCTGGACTGGCTACCTCGGCTCGGTGGCGGACTCTCTGATGCTTCGCGACGGAAAGGTGCGCAGGCGCTTGCGGTGTTGATCTGTTGGGAAATCTGGCTTGAGCGCAACCGAATAATTTTTCAGCATAAGGAGCTCCCGGTGGCAGCCATGGTTAATCGTATTCGTGATGAAGCGACAATTTGGATATTGGCAGGGTGTCCAATACCATTTGACCCGGGCTGAACGAGCTAGGATAGGTAGCAGTGTTGGTTGCATAGCAAAGCTTGCAACGGTTGTTTTCTTTTTGTTTTGTTATTCTTTGCTCCCTGACCTCACTCTATAACTGGCCGTCGGCCTCCTTCTTCTTAATGAAATCACAACAGTTCTCCTGCTGTCTTTCAAAAAAAAGATGAAGCCTTCTAGCACGGTTTGATGGCCTCGTTTTTTTCCAACAAAGGGTGGATTTTTATTGGATCAAAATGGAGCATTAAAAAATACAAACATAATGAGTACACACCTGGCCTCTGCATAACTAAGATGCACACAATCAACATCAACGCGCACACACACAAAAAAACATGCTGATAAATAGCGAAGTCAAATAAAACCAAAGCTATGCACATGCGATAAAAAAACACAAAAGCGATCAGACCGGTGATCAGCAAACTAAATCAATGATCGTATCCGCACCAACCATCCCATAACATCACACGACCGACGAGATTCTTCAACAGCAACGCCTTCAGGAAGGGACTAGCGCTCAAGCGCCACCGTCACCGGATCCAACCATCCAACGTCAGAATCTAGGTTATCACCCTGACGAACCTGACCGAGCATATCCTAGCAATGCCTTCAAGAAGGTAATGATGTAAAAGCATCGCCATTGCCAGATATAACCAACTCGGCTCAGATCTATGGTTTCACCCTAGAGCTTGAGACCAGGTGCTCAAGCAGCACCACCATCAACATCATATGTGTTTTCACCACCACTTGTCCATGATCCCAGCAGCTGCATGCGATGTGCTCAGGTGCTGCACAACCATCCCTTTACGTCAAGGCACCGTCCATAATTTTTATCTCCCCACCAAAATAAACCATCGGATCTTGAGAAAGCAGCCCTCAGAAAGACCTTTCGCTGATCACCGCGCTTCACATGGCCCTTCCCCTGCCCATCGGGGTGTCATGGCATGAACTGACGCACGAAAGTCATATCACCGTCACCGGCCTGCGAAGAACCTATGATGGTCACCAAAACCCGCAGTTCGATGATAGATCGGCCGACGCCGGCACGG